AGTGTTAACTAACTTTCTTATATGTTGTATAAATATTTCATAAAAATAAGGAAAATGCCATGCACTATGTAATAAATAATTTAATTTATTTTATCTCTATCTTTTAGCTTCTGTCTACAGCGATGCTGCCTGATTCAACTTCAGCTATTCTCCTAAGCGTCCTCCTTGTTCACTCCTCTGTTCTGTCCTGTCGCATCGGCACCCAAACAGAGTGTGATGCTGCTCCTTTTGTACCAGGACACAACCTGGTGGGGGAAGGTTTTGATATAGTCACAATGCAGAGAAAAGGAGCTCACGTGATTGATGTGAAGACTTACCTGAGCCCCAAGAAAACCTGTAAACTCTGCACCAACCCTCTTCAAAACGATACTTACCAAAAAGTAATTAAAGATGCATAAATAAACAGCTGCACATCTGACTTGAGGGATTAACAATAATGCGACTTTTCTTCATTTTAAGCGTCCATCTTCTGTTCTGGTCTGGGGTGCCAACAGTCAATGTAATCCTGACATCTTCAGCAGTTTTCATACTTCTGCTAGGTCGAGTATTTAAACCAGATTGTGAACACTGTAAAAGTTGAATCACATAATTAAACTAACAATTACAGGATTTTTTTTTTTTTACATGTTGCAGTCAAGAGTATATGTTTACTGGACCTTTATGTGGTAGACCAACACATAGTGCATAATACTGAAGTGGAAGCAACATATGAAAATGTGGTGTGCATTTATATTCATATTCTGATACTTAATAATATATTCAAAAGCAACCAGCTGACTTGAGAGGTTCCCTAAAATAAATGTATAATTTTTAAAAAATCAATAAAATTCATCTTGATTCTCAGTTAAGTTCACAGTTAAGGTTACAAAAAGCATCATGAAGAAAAAATTGGTAAAGTTTGAAGCAGAGTTAAGTCGTAAGACAAAATCCCAAACTTGAGACAAATCATGGAGCACGTCTCGTCTGTCAGCTTAAAGATATCAAAGCTATGGAGGGAGTCTGAGGTTGTGTATTTACTTCTCTTTGCCTGTAGAGCACTGACCCTGTTCTGCAGAGCGGGTCAGCCTAATATACTGTAAAACATTTGGGCCACATTTAGTTGTGTCTACTAACTTCTAGTCTTTAAGTGAAATAAATTTAGTTTTAGATTTTTAACCTAAATGTATGAGTTTGTGAAACTTACAATAATAATCCATGTTAGCATTTTATTAATTTTGTCATACCTAAAACAGTTGAATATACTAGAGTTTATAGGTTAGTGCTAAAAACACTGACAGAAGAAAAACACAGGAATGGGAACTATTTCCCAGAATGCTTAGAGGCATGTTTTTGTATTCTGAGATGGACGTGTGTTACATTGATCTGACTCTGATGTTATTAAGGCAAATGTTCATTGTAATAAGTTATAACTCTCTGCTAAAAGTTTTTGAGCAGAATTTATGTTGTTTGTTGTTGTTTATTAAATTCATTAGCAAATGATATTTTAATTATTCTAATATAAAATACATAGTTAAATTAACTTGATAACATAAGTCAAAATAATACAGAAATGTGTGTTCTTTAACCAGGTAAAGGCCATTTTTGTTTGCATATTGTGAAATGATTATTTGGTTTAAATTCCAGTAGTAAGTTAAAACTCAATCCAAGATTAATGCACTAACAGAACTTAAACAACTATTTGTAGACAACTTTTCTCTTCTTATTAAATAAACTTCATGAACTTAATTTTATGAGTTAAAACCTAAACAATTTTCTTATTGACTTTAACTGCATTTCAAAGCAGCAGGTGGACTTTCATTTTCAAGTCGAAACACCTTCACATATTTTATGGTGTAAACTTTAAGTCAAAAATATTCTCTCTAGTCAAACCATTAATTATGAGAATTTTCAACATACAAGTAATGCAAATGTAACATTGAAAATTGGAATAACACAGCAAATCAATAAAAAATATTTTCTAATACAGAAGTGCGGGTTTAAGTACTTTTAATCTGAAAACCGAGCCACGTATGGAAGCATTTTCTAATTTATTGAATACAACTGTAATTTATGAATACCTATTTAATATGGCTTAGGAATTAAAATAACAATAGATAAATTCACAATTTCACTGAGCTTAACTACCTAATTAAAAATATGAAAATTAACTGTATAGATGTTTTATAATAATTTCTTCCTTTAAATTGTCCCAACAGCTCTCTGGTTGAGGCTTACACATCCCAAGACGCCAATGATTGGACGGTAAGAAACATCTCAAAGCTGAACATTTCAGAATATTTTCAATGCAGCCCTGAGTTTTGAAAACACAACCCTGATAAAAACCTTGCTGTTTAATTTTCTTTCATCATTTCATTTCAGTTCATATGTGCTCTTCCAAGAAACAGCATTTTATTATCTTTTTAGTTTGCATTCAGTTAGAACTGAAGTAAGTGGTTATTAGAATTGTGATACAAAAATATGGCTTCTTGTTTAACACCCTATAAAGTACATGTGTTGTCTGTATTTCATCAGGTTGGCTTGGATTTTGAAAAGTTTTTGTTTGACAACTTCGATGTGGGAGGAACCCGCTCCAAAGGCTACAAGTTCGCTTTACAAAGGAGCAAAGAGGATCGCTACACTTTCAGCATACACAGTGTCACCTGCAGCCATTATGGGTAGGATGGAAATTAGACTTTTTTTATTGAGTTCGGACAGGTCATGGTTTTTTAAATAATTGTCTAATTTTGTCTTGGTGTCTAGATTTATATTATCATCCAAACCTCCCTTAAGCTTAGAGTTCAAAAAGCAGTTAGACGTCCTGCCAACTCACTACAACTACTCCACAAAGAACGAGTATACAAACCTCATACAGACCTATGGCACACACTTCATGAGACTGGTGAGAACTTTGGCACACACACACATTGTGAATTAGTTACAGACATTAATCTACAGGGAAGCATTTCAAAGAACTTTATACCCGTTTTAGGTTCATCTTGGAGGGCGACTGAGACGAGTGACATCTTCACGAAGCTGTTTGTCCTCCATGAATGGGTTAATCTCAAGTGAGGTAACAAAACGCACAAAACAACAGATTTTTACACAACCATATGAGATATGTTCAAGAAGATTTTAAGTTATAGTATATTTTTGGGAACCATCTGGCTCAATCTTCTTCTTACGGATCCCAGGTTCTCCCTACGGGCCGCGTGTAGCCACACAGAAAACAACAATGAATGTAGACGTCACAGAATTACAGAGTTTAACCAATAGAAGACAACTTATGCAAATTACAACAGAAACTGCAGA